ACGAAAGAGGTGGAACTAGGATATTAAGATTCAGGGATGCAGAAGATTCCTCACGTTTAAAATGGCCCTGTGCATCAGGCAGATCTGCACGGGCAAGCTGGTGACTTATGCAGTGAAGATTGAGCAAGTTGAAAAGCCACTCAGATCTATCCATGGATAGTAGCAGAGGTGATAGACTGATAGTTGCCCAGAGCGGAAACACGTGGGGTGTCACTGTTGTTGCTTGTATTTGCTTGTATTGAAATACATGATACAATACAGGCACGGCGATACGGTATGGTAAAGAGTAATACAATACGCCAGTGCGCTCATAGAAAGGGGATGAGACATCCATCATGAACATGTCAGAATTCGCTCATGTGAGGGAAAAAAAAGGAAAGTAAAGGGAAAAAGAAAAAGAGATGGCAGTCGACTGTAGTGCAGAAGCTTGGAAGGGTTGTTAATTTTCATGATTCGCACTCAGAAAAAGCAAAGAAGCGGCAAGCAAAAAGTCATTTGCCTCTTCCAAACGCTGATTCCCACATTATGGTCATTTAAGAAGCGGGTTTTTAGAATAAATGAACACATTTCAGGAGGATGACTTGCATTTTCCTCAATGAGGCTTCCGTGTGGGAGTTGCCGTACCGCAAGCAGAATTGCTTTTCTCCTTTCACATCTCAAAAATATGGAAAATCCTTTCTCTGCCTTTTTTTTTTAACTCAACGGTTTTGTGTCAACAGAAACAAAAACTCCAGCCATGCTCTGCGTCTGGTCTTGTTCGTACTCGATGATGGTTGGGCGTTTAACTGGGTATTCGTCCGCGGTTTGGATCGGGGTAAAACTAAAACAGTTCGTTCCCGATAGCCTGGGTTGTGGAATCCAGCAGGCATCGCGATCAAGGCTTATTATGATGACGATTCCATCGGGGGCCGTGTGGTCAGATAACATCTTCGCTTCGGTTCCACATGGGCAAACGGTCTACATACGGTACTGGATGATCATTTGGAGCTGCTTCAAGAGGCAAATGTCAGCCGCGTTTGCCCTGCCTAAAATTCATAAGGTGTCAGATACGAAGCCCTGTTGTGCTCTCTTCAGAAACTTTTGAGTTGTGCATCTCCTCTTCTTGTAATGTGCCCTTCCGAATCCCGAGTTTTTGAGCAGTGCCTTGTCTGCCCCGCATTTTTCGGGGAGAAAGAGCAAATTGGCACTTGGCGTGAGATTTTGGAAGGATTCGCAAGATTTTATCCGTTCAAAAATTTGTCCCAGTAGATTTTGCCCTGTTGGGGGGTGCGGAATTCACGAGGCGCCAACGAATAACAGAGTTATCCAGGGATAATTATCTAATTATCCTAGCAAGAGCTAACTTAGCTAGTACTCAGCGAGTCGCAGAGGGAGAACCAGCAATCTGCATGATGAGGCTGGAGTACTGGAAATGTCAAGGCGAATGTTTTGGGACTGAATATCATTCGCCCGCCTTGGTAAAGAATGATTGAGGAAAATAGGGGAAAAAGAAATACGAATAAAATTCATGTGGGAGAATGATTATCCATTTCAAGCAACCCATGAAGTCAGATACCGTCCATTCAGCCCAAAATTCCATTTAGGAACAGCTGGGAGAAGAGAAAGCAGTGTGAAGATGTCCATCTTCCAACCGGTTTCAGCCCCCTCCCTAAGGCACCGGGAGACTGTCAGTGACCTCCACTGGGCGCTGGCTGTCCTCCTAGTGTTCTGATCTCGGTGGGGACCGCAGGAAACCAACCTTGAGTTGACAACTCGTTATGGCAAAAGTATTGCCCCTCTAGTACACCTAAAAAAGGACAGCGAGCATGGTTCTGCTCATTGGTTGAAATAGCCTCGGTGAGCAAAATTTTAACTCGAGCAACGGTCAACAGTGATTTGTCGCTTGTGGCTGGGTTCACCAGCCAGGGATATATCAGCACCTTGACTGGCCCCTTTCAACGTGATAACCCCAGCGACGATGATGATTCATGGTTGCTTCAATGTCCCCAAAGTCAATCTTGTTAAGACGGCCGATAAGCTGTTTTCAACGGAGGTATTTCACCACCGTATGTTCGGTGCTGTGCCTTTGACATCCACAAGCTGCAAGAACCTTGGAATCCACACGGTACAGACCGCCTCGTTTCCCCACCTCTCCGCTGGGATCTGTTAGCGTCTTTCATGCAGAAAGGCTACCACTTTTAAATTGATCATAACTCACGACTTGACATCAGTGAGCAAGATAGAAGTGGTCTTTGAGGCCCAAGCCACAAGAAACGCGAGAGTTTCTGGATCCATTTTTGGTGCTTTTTCTTTTTCTTTTTCTTTTTCTTTTTCTTTTTCCTTTCCTTTCCTTTCCTTTTCTTTTTTATTGTTTGTTTTGCTCGTTTCTCCACCAAGGAGGTCAGGAGGACGCTCCGCAAGGTTCTGTTTTAATGACCTATTTCGACATTATCATGTTGCTGAATATGTGTGTGTGTCGCTAACCATAGGAAAAATCAAGGAGGAAAATCCACATTTATACGCTGTAAATTCTCCATGCTTCGAAATAGCAACGGTTTTCTGGAAACCTTCACAAAAGCAATAGCACTAATAATCTGGATGGTCACCGCGCTTGACGATATGGTGAAGGTGAAGCCCCTTTCTAACGGGGAACGAAGTCTCCACGAAGTCTCCAGATCAAGATCGTATCGATGTATTGAATATAATACTAGTAGTATGGTTTAGGGATCCGTGTAATGAAATGTAATATGAAATATTGTATCCATTGCTCTGGGCCAAAAAGCGCCCCTAAAGCACAAGCTATCGTACCCAGGCGTCATTTAGTGATCCACTATGGACGACGGACACAGAGCCCTGGAGAAGGTCGGCTCCAGAGTGGAGTTTGGCGGGACAACGTTGGTTTGGGGCAGTGCCCTGGAACGATCCTGTCATCTAGCATGCAAAATCTCGCGGCAGCCGTTGAAAAGTCAAATTCCAACTTTCTTGCCAAACCAGCAAGGTGCAGAAGAGGGACAGTAAACAGTTGGGGTTTTGATTGATAAAGGCGCTGAAACAAGCTCCCGACAGTCTGGTAATTATGACGGTGGGCTGGGATGGATGAAAAAGAATTAAAATAATAAATAACAAATAACATAAAAATACATACCAACAATAGAAATATGTGCAGAAAAGGCCACATCCAAACGCAACCAAAGAAAAGAAAAGAATCATGGAAAAAGAAATAACAGATCAACTGACAGCAGCGATTGACACGGCCAAGACCAGGAGAAACAGATGGTAACGATGGTATCCACCACCAAAATGGAGGTACCGTACCGTACTGGGGTCTTTCTGATGTATCAACTTCGACCTATCGGTCACTGTATTATATTGTATATACTGTATTGTATTATACTGTATCGTACTATATGTCCCCAGCGTCTTTCTCCTTAAGCCTCAACTCCTCCTCACTTCCCAAATCCTCCTGGCTTCATATTTATTCTTCCGATTCCTGGGCTCTGTGTGCTGTGTCGTGGCGGGAAGAAAAAGCGAAGATATCGCAGCTCCTGTCGTGATCTGCTATTGTAGATGCTTATTATTACCCTTTTACCTTCAGCGGACCGTGCTGTGTTTTCTTAGCATTTTGCTGGTGCACCGGTTCGCCCTATCTAAACTTCACAGCTGCTGCCACCTTGGTTGGGTACACATCCCCCTCCATTTCAACTCTCCGAGTTTCTGCCGCCTAACCCCTCTGTGACAGTAATCCCATATCGACGCAATCGACATCCTTAGTCTCCAGTTCTGCGGCTTTTGTTTGTTTACCAGCAGTTTCCGTGGGAATTGAAGCGGCAAGCGGGAATCTTCCTGTGCGGCGTCCTGTGGGTAACTTCCCGAGCCTCAACCAAGGAGTCAAAAAGCCAAATCTTCTGGGTTCCTCATCACTTTGCTGTCAGGCTGTTGCAGGTAATGATAGAATTCCTGTTCCTCCAACAACACATGTTTCCCATTTTCCTCTCAGGCCGATATTATACGTAGAGACTGATCTTTTTTTTTTTTTCCAAGTTTTATTTTGCTTCACAGCAACCGATCAAATAATACCGGTACATGTACGCCTGAAAGTAGTATTTGGTTTTAAGCAAAATTCTATGTCTACAAGGCCCGACGTCCCTGCGATCCTCTAGACCCTTCCATTTTTCTCACACAGAGAGCGATTCTGTAAATACACCATGCTGCCAGTTTTCTGGGGTTTGTGTGTTTGATGTTGGATATTCCAGTGTGATAGACGTTGGTTATAGAAGGTCTGTAGATGGTCTGGGCTTGGTAGACAGATTAAGTGATGGAAATTACAACAGAGGTCAAGTCCAAAACGCGGACTTCACCATCATCTCAGCCTGGTCATCTCCTGACTGCCCCTGTTCGAGGCCAGTTCGAACCCGGGTGGCGCCCATATAATAATTATGACGGCTCCAACCCGGAACAACACGGGGAGACTCCGCGTGCACCGCATGTCTACATCGCGCCACCACGAGCCAACCCGCATGGCCCTGCAGAAGTGACATATGGACGACCTGGTAGCATCACAGCGCCTCCTCACACTCGCACAGAGCCTCAACCACCGCCTGGAACTTATCGGCCTGTGAATTGCTCCCAAGAACAAGCGCAGCACCCGCAACCACCGCACCAACAAGCTGGACACCCACCTGGACCTAACAAATTTCAACAACCACGTATGCCTTACCCTCCGGATGGGCGTCATCCAAACGGCGAAACTCACGGAGTACCCATGTACTCCCACGGGGATCCAATGCAGCCAATACCTGCCTCACAGCCATATGCCCCTGGAGGCCATATGGCTCCTACTCCGGGATTATACGAAACGAACAGTTATTTTATTACACAGGCTGGGTTGCCTCTAGCGAACCGCCAACGAAGGACAACACGAGCTCAGCAGGTATTCTTTCTATTTATCCCTGTTTCATTAGAGCCATCTAATGGGTTGTAGGCATGCGACCAATGCCGTTCACGGAAAGCGAAATGCGATGAAGGTCGGCCAGCTTGCAGCCATTGCAAAGAAAGTAATGTTCCCTGCGTCTACAAGGATGTGCCTCCTCAGAAGTAAGTTTATGAAATACTCCTCAATTATGCAGCGAGGTCCTAGAAACCTGACGTGAATCTGTTTGCAAAGGCAAGAAAGGTCAACTCAGATCATCGTTGAAAGAATAGACCGACAGGAGGAGACAGAAAAAGCTACCAGAGAAGAGCTTATGAAACAACTATATGAGATGAAAACTCTTTTGGCTGATGTTAAGTCGCAAATGGATGCTATGGCCGGTTCTACTGCCCCAAGAAAACTGAGCCATTTGACTCCTCCTGGAAAAGTGGAGGCAAATGCGAATTTTAACTCACCAAATGCCAGACTACCGGAAACCCAAGGCCCTGCTAAGCTTCCGAGAGAGGCGGACGTGGATCGGGCTTTCTCTACTGTGGACGGCGACGAAACCCGGATTTCAGAGGAGTATAAAGAGTTGCAGGACCTTGATGCTGGGGAGCTGTCCATTCCAATAGAACACACTACTGCTGCTCACAAGTTATTATTATGGCCATCTATTCAAAAGTTGCTCCCTGAGAGGATCGATGCCGAATACGTGATGCAACTGGAAGAAAATCGTGGTCCTCTCAGGCTATATGGC